TAAGGTGGCCAATTTACCATTTCAACTTTGTTGATATATCCTAATTATTTCGTTACCCCCACCGACGCAGCCCCAAACAGTTTCTTTAGAAACTATCAGCCTTTATGCCACTTTAACATAACAACACAACAAGAAATTTATATTTTCAGAAAGATAAAAGGATCATCTGCCAACACACAAACTTTACAAGCGGGATTGCATCGCGTTGTGGCGAACGAAGTTGCCGAAGTTGCTTCTTTTTTGTTTTACTGGTATGGAGGGACAACGGCCATCTAGACGTATTCTGAACTTTTCGATTTTTCGAAGAAAGTAAAGCGCGATAGAAAATTTTGATATTCTTTTAGAAAGAGGTTCTTCAAAAGCGTCCTTTAGAAAAAATAATATGGATCACGAAACTTGGTAACTGTCGGCGGTCCTCGATGGTCAGTGGCTCTCAACACCACGATCAATCATACTGTTTTACTTACATGATTCAAGTCTTGCCTTCAACAGGAAACCTTTCATTTGCATTTATTGTATATATTGAGCCTACACCATATACGAGTAAACGTGAGTTCTTATCACACGATTTACCTGATTCTCCTTATAAGCGAGGAAAGGGCCGCCTTCGACACTATACGTGACATAGTAGTTTTTTGTGTAATGTCCTACATTGTACCGTCCCTGAGTGGCAATACGTGTTATCTTTGTGATTTTTCCCAGATCAACTTGAATAAACTGACCGTCATCGTGTGACTTTGGAAACCAAGCGGCATAGGTATTTGAGGGCAATGTATTGTCGAGTCTGGCGTATATTGGAAGATATGAATCACTGTAGCTAGAGGTGGCGGTGAGGGCGCTGTTAGGAATCTTGCCGCTTTTCATTCCAAGTTCTGATTGACATTCCAGCTTGGGTGGCTCAAATCCTGAAGAAAGAAAATTCTTCCACCAAATCTGTCGGAATAACTCAGAAGTAAAGGCTTAATACCATACAAACGTTCTTATGTCTCCAGTCCCCTCTGAAATGTACTAAAAAGCAACCATTTTAAACAAGAGGCTTTCGTTTCACATGGTAGTTCGCGTCGTTTTCCGGTAAAAACGACGCATCCAAGTTCCATTCCTTTAAAATTATTTCAGTTATTTGAGTGGAGGGAGAGGAAACCTATGGAACATTAAAAGGAGCAAAGCATTGCTGAATGGGCTTGAATAAAATCGAAACTTTTACCATCGTCCAAAAGCTACCTACTATAACAGTTGACAAAAAAAACATGATTATGTAACCCAAGGACCAATCCTTATTTATCGCCTGGATTAGGAGGATCGGAGTATCTTGTGAGGGGTGGGGTGAAATCACATCACATGGTTTTCAAGGACAACAGAGTGGGTATCGGCATCAGTTATCTCTTACAGAGTTTAAAGAGGGTTCTGTAGAGAAACGACTCTCGAAGAGTTAAACAATAGAATACTATAGAGCCTTGTAGGAGAACCAGGTAGATTTCAATGTGATACAACCAAACAAACCCACCCTCCCCTCCCCCCTTGGCGATAAATAATGATCAGTCCTTTGTCCGTTACCTTCTTTACATCCGTAAAATTCTGCTCTGAAGGAGATATGGGATTGCCATGTTTCTGGAATGATCCGGATGTATCTTGTTATAATTGGTTTGTGTAATTTGTTTTTCACCACGGTGAATCTATCGTAGTTGCCGTTGTACACCTGCAAAATTTCATTTCACAATTAACAAATGGTAAACACCACAGCGTACACTATTGAGTTATGGATACACGCGGGAGGTTGCTAAGCACGAAAGAAGCGTAAGAGTCGCGCGATGCGATAGCCGAGAGTGACTCTAGCTTCTTGAGTGCTTAGCAGACCTCCCAAGTGCATCCATAACTAAATAGTGCATACTGGGGCGTTTACTATTTGTTTTTATCTGTTTCTATTTACCAATCAGAGCGCGCGCTTAACTTTATGTTATAATTAACAATTATTCCACGAGCGCGCGTTGGATATAAGATGATAGATAGCCAACGAGGCNAATGGAGGATCTGGTGCTAACATTGCTGGCGGTCTCCGGCTGCCTAATCTTGTTGCAGGTTCAGGCGATAAATTTTATCATGTGTACCGCAGTATTTCTGAGGAAACGCAAATTATTATTGCAAGGAAGTTTAACGTCAGCCACACTTAATCGCCGACGACGTGGATGGCTTGGCATCTGTCTAACTCAAATTTGCCTCAGTTGCATCTGGATCTACTCTAACCTTTTTTGGGGGAGGCATTTTCACTTTGTCGATCGAACGATAAAACAACACTGGGCTTGGTAACCATTCCATTTAGAATGTTCCCAGAGTTGTCGTTGTGTGTAAACGGTCAGGAATCCGAATATCCTTTCAGTGTAAACGCCTACGAATCCGAATACTCCAAAATTGATGAATCCGGAAGCATTTACGAATCCGGAAAACTCTCCTCTACTGTAAACCTAGTCTAAGAGAATAGGGTTTCAAACTAAGTTGTTAGGAATCTTCTTTTATAAAATTTCACCGCACCTTGGACTGAGCACGAATTTTTTGTCTCATCAACACATCCAATTTATTTTTCCGAACCATCAAAACCCTACATGTCGATGTGATTTTTTGACATTTCCTTGTGAAGACATCGAGCGAGAAAGGTGAATGGGCCAGCAGAAGAAATTGACTGTGTGGTGAGACAAAATTGTGCGCCCATTGTTTGTTGAATTTCGTTGTATCATTTGCCTAAATATGCCACCTCTTTACATCAAACCCAGTCCTGTCGAACCAAATCACACTGCTAACCTTTCTCCACATCATACACTTTCTTAATGATCAAAACACAGCACAGTCGTTAGATTACTTAGTTTTCCTTTTTCTTGATAATTAGACACAAACCCTGGGGGGAGGTACTTAGGTCGAATTTTGCTGGGTATATCCCGCTGGCCTCTCAGAACATCTACCCCATTATTGTCTACTGTGAAGCCAATCTTAACCACTTTGTAACCGCGAATCTTCCCATTCTTAAATCCTTACTTACCAGAAGACCTCATTCTAAAAACTCTATCGAAAATGCAACCTCTATATAGTCAATTCAGTTGTTAAAAAGCGACTCCATCCTCATTTGACTATTATGAGAGAGGTCCATTCCTGGCACAAACGTCCACAAACACGAGCCGAAGTATCAGTTTAAGCAAATTTTGTTTTCTCGGCGGACGTGTCGATCAATAACGATCGCTTGATCTTTGAAATCAAGAAATATACCCATAACTACACAAGCAAAGAGTCTGAGCCAATAGAATTAACAATGACCAGAATATTATGTTTACTAGGCTCTCACCTGCTTTAGGTTATCTTCATTATTAAAATTTTCCCAGAAGACACCATCATAACTGAATGAAAGGCTGTAAGTTTTAACCCACTGGGAAGAATCCTGTCTTCCTTGAGTGGCTACAGCTGTTATCTGTGTCCATGTTCCGAAATCGACCTGGAAATACTGCTCAGCATTGTTTGCGCCCGCAGCCCAGCTACCGTATTT